GGTGTTGCCCTGTTGGGCTTGGACATTGACTCACGATTCTTCTGTATCATTCTCAAATGGATGGTTACTCGGTTCCATTGTGCTATCTGCTCTGGACTTCAGTGTGATTTTGCAGTCTGGATTTCTGTGCTTCGTCCATATTCATGTTCCTTGCAGAAGATAGAGCTTGGGGATAAAGTTAAATTCTTGTCTGCACTTATCAGTCGTGGAAAAAAACAATATTACAATGGACGCACCTATCTCTGGTATAATAAAAAACCTGGGTAGATCTGGATTTTGTGATCAAGTGGGTAAACCACATGCCAAATGAATATTATGGATGGGTGTAACCATATACAGCTATGGCGTCATGCCATGCATCAGCATTGTGTCAGCAGTTGTATTCATGATTCGTTTCTGCCACTAATTAGTAATTAGATGCGCACTAATAATGAACGCAACGCTCCATCAACTTCAACGTCTGTCATTCTTTTTCTCTCATCTGCCATGCAACTCAACGTAAATGGCGCCGTGCAGCGTGATATAATAAAAGCCATGGCTACGCCGGACCCGGACCCGGACCCGGACCCGAACATTTCCGGACATGGAACCGGACCCGCGTCCGGTAGTTTTCGGACAACCGGAATTCCGGTCATTTCCGGACCTCCGGACATGGGGGGGTCCTGACGGTCCGGATGTCTGGACAGGTCCGGAAATGTCCGGACCATTAAAAAAAAAAAAAAAAAAAAAAAATCTGAAAAAAAAGTATGCTACGCAGAATAACAATGCAAACCACTTTTGCCTCATGTCAGAATTCCTAACCAAACTTGCGTTACAAGTTAAAAACTATAAAAAAGATTTAAAAAAAGTTTAAAAGACTTTAAAAACTAATAAAAGGTAATGAATTATTAATAATTAAAAAATTGGGGTTATCTAATAAATTATTATAGAGAGAGAGCATGTCCAGACCCCCCAAAAAAGCATAAACGGGCCTGAAAAACCCCCAAAACAATTTTGGGGGCTTCGCTCCTCAATGGGGAAGGGTCCTGGACCGTTTCTGTTTTTTTTTCTCTCGAATTTTGGCGGATCCGGACCTTCCAGACCAGACGTCTGGAGTCCAGACTGAATCCAGACCGTCTGGACAGCGGTCCGAACGTCCGGATCGTAGCCATGATAAAAGCCCTTACAGCCAGATATAATAAAACCTCATAGCTATGGCTCCAGTGGCATAAGCATATGGAATTAATAAATTATAGATAGTCATTGTGCAAGGATTATGAGCGGGAGCGATAGACAGAAAACCCAGTTGCAAAATCACGAAGAAGCTCAGATAGTCGAATACCAAGAAGAGAGCACAATGCACCAAGATACCATTCCAATAAGAGCAATACAATGAACTCCGATGTCAATGTTGCGCCCAGCCTACTCTACTCAGCCTATCTAGCTTATCTACGTTCTTGCAGCCAGATCACATCGCTGTTGAGGACCAATGTACGTTGATGTCAACTCCAATGCCGACCGCCAGCATACACCAGGTACGTGCTCTCTCTCCTCCCCTCGACACCTCGTCTCCCTCTTCTTCACGCGCCTCCTACCCGAAGACCACCATCACCACCTCCAAGCACCGGCACGCTCAGCCCGGCTATGGCCGCAGCGCGCCCACTGCCACCGCAGTGCCCTTACCACTTAGCCCCTGTGCACTCCCCAGCCTGCCCGCGCAGTTTCGCAGAGCAATGCAGCAGCGTGGCCACAATGCCTGCACAGGCCACAATCCCCCAGCGCCGGGGCAGACACTTTCCTTTACAGAAATTGTGCCCGTGTCTATCTGGTCTGGCCAGCCGTATGCCGGAGGGGCCAGTAGCTTGCCTCTGGCCCCAAGTGTCTGCACCCATGCCCAGTTTCCGAGACTGGCTTGGGCCCCATGCAGTTAGGCACATTTGGGCAGCCACGCAGCTTCCAAGTGTTCGCAGCATTCTCATTGGCTCTTGACTCCTGTGTGACGGCAATAATGCTCTCTCATTGGCCAGCGGCCAGTCCGTGATGTGTCGGCCTCACACAGTGTGTGCCCAGAGCCACAACCAGCTGAGCCCTGGGCTCAACTGTACCGCGCAGCCCTTGCTTCTGGAAAAAGCCTGGAGGCTCACGTTGCTCTGTAACTAACTGGCATGCTGCAACTGTCTGAATCCTCACATACGGAAAAATGGCGAACAGGCCTCTTGCGGACATTCCAGCCTGCTTTCACTTAGGGCGGGCACAGGCTTGCTCGGGGCCGTGGCTCAGAACACCTGTATGTCTGATAAGGTTCCCGTGAGAGCTCATTCCTCGCAATTGTGAAAAGGGTTTTAAACTTCCAAATGTTTTCGATTTCTTTGCTTAGCCCTCGCGGGGCCCTTTTCCCAATTGTGAGGAATGAGCCCTCGCAGGATCCTGCGATTCAATATTCAAAAGTGTAAAAGTTAAACACAAGCGATGTCCGCAGGATCCCGACCCAACAGTATCTAATGTTTTATTTTTTTTTGGCCAAAATTGCCCATAAAACTGGATGCTTTTTTAATTTTGTTCCTTTTCTTTGGGGGGCCAAGAAAACAATAACAGATGTAAAGACTTCAGCACCAACCTACCTTTTGCCCTTATGGTCTTCTTGAGCCGCCTTGCCTTTCAGATCTTTGGCCTTCGAATCATCCTTGCCTTTTTTCAAAGCTCGAATCAAAATATTTGTCGTGTCTGTCCTGATGTACTGCTCCTCTGCAAAGGGAAAACCCCAAACACGACACACATCCATGAAGTTCATGACGAGTACTGCTATTGCACAGATTAGAACTCAGGACTCCATGTTCACAAAAGCTTCACTACTGAATACTGATTATCACCAGGACTCGCACTCAGCATCTGTTTGCCAGTCAACTCTCTCTCTCTCTCTCTCTCTCTCTCTCTCTCTCTCTCTCTCTCTCTCTCTCTCTCTCTCTCTCTCTCTCTCTCTCTCAGGACATTGCGTCACTAAACAAAGATACTGACGATAATTGGCACGTTTCACAGAATGGTAGCGAACACCTATGATGTCGCAGACTTGACCACGGTAATGAAGCTGTTTTGTAGGGAACTCCGACAGATGGACTACCCATGGAGGATAACCCGCACGACGATTTTGGCATTCATCCGAAATTGCAAAGACACTGAAGTCCGAAGTAAATTCCAAGAGTGTCTGGAAGCAGAAGAAACACCAATCGAAAAATGATATAAAATCAGAGAAAGAAAAACAATAAAAGATAAAAGCAACAAAGAGAAGGAAACGAGCAAACCTAATATCACATAAAAAAGATCGGCGACATGCAGATATAATGACACAAAAATGGCCGTATTGATTTCCCAACATACGCAGTGAAATGAATCGAACCGAGAACCAGAGTAAGCATATAACAAACAGGCGACGGGAAGATGAAAGTACTCACCTGAAAAATAATGATGAAACCCACGACCACGCGGAAGACAAAGAAACATACAAAGCCAGAAGAAAGCCAAAAAGATATAAACAAAAATTTTCAACATTATTTTTCGACAGAAATACGGCTGAAACTGAAATAAACTGAATGAGTACGGAATTCCGACAGAAAGAGGAATAGAAACAGAATAGACAGTACCATAGGAGCATACGAAGGAGGAAGATGTTATATGAAGCAAATCGACAGCCACGGGAAACCAACGACAACAAGGGCGTTACAGAGCGTGACTACGGAGAAATCAGAGGCAACGATGATGAGGACACTGCAGGGATTGAGGACAAGCAGGTGGGAAGGATAAGGATGATAGGGTATAAATTCAGGGACGGTGGCTGAAAGGATTACCTGAGCAGTGAGGTAGAAGCGTAATCGCGACAGTTGTCGCATGCCATGGACAGGACGTGTATACTGCGAAAGTAAAACCTCGCACGTGTTGTCTATTGTTGCAAGTGTGTATCTCAAGGCACAGTGCTTCGAACTTGCGGACGGTACCCGCGATGATCGGCACTGAATCTAGGTGATAATCTGCGTAGCTGTTCTATCTGATTCTAATGTCTTGTCTATCTTTCTAGTATCATCTCTCTCACTCCAGTACACGGAACATAGCTCGATCATTAGTGAATGCACTTCGATTAACTTACTTGGCGGTTTTCATACGGCGTGGAGATTGTTTTTTAGCGTGGAGATTCTATGCGCGATTTTGGAGATTGCTTCACACTAGCGATTTGGAGATTGCTCGTGGTGCATCGATCGGATTTCCGTAATCATCAGTAATCAACAAAGTGGAGGGTACCCGAAGATCCGGATACTTCAAGGAAGATGGCGCGATCACGCTCATCGTCGGACAGAAGGAGGCGCATGCACTCATCATCGTCCTCTGGATCGCACGGAAGGAAACGCTCAAGACGGGGGAGATCCAGGACTCCGAGAGATCAACGACATAGATCAAGATCTCCATCATCCAGGAGGAGAAGGGCAGAATCGGAGTCCCCAAAGCGATTGGCTCGTCCACACTGGGAGCAACGATGCAATGATTTCCCTCCACCGGGAAATCGCGTCTGGTTTACGGCCGATCTGAAGGAGGAAATCTTCAAGCTACGACGAGAGATGGACAAAGTGTTGAAGACACTAGAGCAACTCACCATGAAGGCAGCAGACAAGAAATCTATGCAACAGGATAAGAATGATGGAAGCTCGAAGAGATCGGCGGTGGCACCTGAAGAACCAAAAGCGAAAGAACTGGTCACCGCATCAGAACTCAAATCAATCATTGACAAAGCACTGAGACCAGATGTGCAAAGTGCGAAGCATGCGGGGACAGCGCAAGCGCCAAACACGCAAGCAGGTACTAGCGGAGCAGGACAGAAGGCAGCTGAAGACGAAGGTAAAGTGGAGAACATGGTGTCAGAGGTGCGGAGAGACGTGAACGACCTCAAGCTCCTTAAGTACGATCTCGCGGCAGTGAAAGGAGCATTGCAGAAGATAAATGAGCCAACAAGGACCTGCACACCAATAGCATCATCATCCGTTCACCCGAACCAGTATCCTGGAGTAATGACTGGACTACCAGCCTCAATGCACATCAGCCGCAGCGGTCCAAGCCACAGTCTACCAAGCCGAAGCATTCCAAGTCGAAGTAGACTGAGCCGACCATTTCCTCCACATCCCAAGAAGGGACGAACGAAGACGCAACGACGAACAAGGACAATCAGGTTGAAGGCGAGACGGAGCATCAACTTCGGCGTCGAACCGATAACAGACACGCAACTCCTTCGCCTGCATTACACGGATCTGTAGGATCTGTGCAAGATGCACGATATCAAGTACAAGGATAAACCTCAAGCTATATCGCAGTTGCGTAGAGTGCCAGGTCTGATCGCATACAACGACGTGCTTCCAATCGTGACTCAGACCTCGAGACACAGATCAATCCAGATCCCGACAATATCAGGATCGGATCATCCAGCAACGAGAAGACAGAGGACGAGGAGGAGAGTTCGGAATCAAGTGAGGAAGATGATGACTCATCAAACACGTCTTCAAGCACTGAAGACCTGTCGGGAAGGTAAGTAGGCCACCACCGGTGGGTGACCTCACCACGGTGCAGAAATGGGAACAAAATCAAAGACTAGCAACGACGATAGAAAGGCTAGTGAATACTGGTAAGATAAGTACATGTCATTCGTACAATAGACGATACAGACTTTTGTTTATCTCACTAGCACTAGATGGAAGCATTCCATGGGCAGGCCCATTAATAGACCTATGGACTGCTCAGTACCAATCAGTTGACTCGCTGCTAACAACTAGCTATAGCGTATACGTTCTCATTTCGCCATGGTGTAGACACATGTACGTTGGGAAGACAGGAAGGACACCGGATAAGAGATGGTGCGAACACGTGAACTTAGCTAGAAACCCGAATAGGGGGGCACAGAGAAAGTTATACAGTTGGCTACGGACATTTGGTTGGGAAAAGTGCGTTCTGATACCAGTATGAACCGAAGTAAAATCAGAGGTGACAACAAGGGAGACGGCGCTAATTAAGAGACTCAACCCATTCTTGAGCACAAGGGGCAAAGAAAAAAAGATTTGGAAGAACAGGTGAAGAAGGAAAGGGAAGAAACACAGGATACGGAATGTAAATCGGAATATACCGATATTGTTTAAATCTGTGCGATCTAGATACACCACAAAGTTAACTCAATTGTTACAACCAAAAGCGATGATCCACTGCACAACAGGAAAACTGTGGAACGAAAAATGGAAAGTAATCAAACGAACGTTTGGATCCATAATCATTGAGATTAACAACACTAAATTCCAACTGAAAGAATGCAAAAAGAAAATTGAACAAGGTTGTACGTTCTATATAATCCAGCTAGTGCACACAAGACCCGCAACAAACAAACATAGGAATTCTTTGATTAATAGTCTTCGGGCACCATGGAGAAGGAAGGATTTATATAAATTAACTTTGGATGATATTCTAATTCTGTTATCGAAAGTGGGGTCAATAACAGGAAAGAAACAACGAGGCACACTTAAAGGGATATTCAAACGAATTTCGAAGAAGAAATTTGCATTCAATATTAAGAAAAGGCTCATATTCAGAATTCCTTTTGCAGCAGAGATCAATCTAAAACAAGTCAGAAATGCCACAACAGATGTAATTCTTGAAAATGTGCAGAATAAAAATTTGGCAAGAGATTTAGTATCCCGCATGAGAGTGATGTTTAAAAAATCCAGGACTGACGGCGAGATCTTGCACAATCACAGGCAGGTGATGAAAAAACTACCAGACTGTGAATGCACTACCTCCCGACTACCAAAGATGGATGATCATGTTGCGTGCATATTAAGTGAAATTACTGAAAACCAGTTAATATGGAATGCAAAAAAACGTACCGCATGTTAACGCAAGAGTAGGGAAAGAAGAAGTACGAAAGACAATCCTACTCACAATAGCAAGTATACCACGAGGCATGCGAAAGACAAGAGAAATCAGAATTGATATCTTGAGGTGTATAAACAAAAGGAAAGATAAAAACGAAGGAAATTATCCGGATATATCGGAAGTCTGGAAAGTCAAAAAGGAATTGGGACAATTGATCCTATCGTCACTATATAGGAATCCTGGAGAAACGCTCGTTGAATGTCCAAAAGCCTGGTATGAAAAGACAAATCAATTTGTCCAAGAATCCGAATACTATGAAATCGTTCAGCAGACAAAATCTGAAATTCTCCGACTAGCAAAGAAGACTTACCAAGGACGTGAACTACGAAAGATTGTTGAATGGGATGAGAAAGGAACATATGGAAAATGCTTATACAATTCCAAAGAACAAAGATATAACTAGACGAAGGCCAATTGTACCAACATATAACGAACGTTCGCGAAAAGCAACGAAAATCCTGTCGAGAGCGATAAACTTTATGTGTAAAACATGGAAAGTCGGCTTCTCATTGCAAGGAACGAATCAACTTGTTCCAAAATTAACAGAATGTAACAAAACAGCAGAAGAAATGTATGGACGGAACACGGAATTGATATGCACTACGTATGACGTTAAGGACCCGTTTTTTCTAATCTAGATCATACACATGTTCTTAACGTCATGCAATGGATGTTAGAGACGGCAAAAGAAAAATGGAAAACGCACCTGTGCTATAAACAAAGAGGAAAATACATCAATTTTGGCAAAGCAAATGGAACATACGAATGGAGAACAATTCAAATTCACAGGC